AAATAATAACACAATTTTCGAATGCTTGACTAAATTAGATAATTTCTATAATCGTTTAAATTTTTGATTTGGGTTAATATATATTATATTAGGGTTAATATATATTATATTAAAACGATTACTCTGGCCTTAATCATGAAAAAATGATAAGGTAAGAAAACAAAGAAGAGAGAATAAATAGGAGAACACATGACAATATTACTGTTCAAACAAGGAAAAATGTGGTCAACCTAAGTGATATTATTTAATTTTTTTTTTATAAATATATATTGTATTATTTATTTTTGATCAAAAAAAGCGATATATGTAAATGATACATATACATAGCAGATACTTTGGATAATTGACAGATTAAACTGCTGATTGATCCTTGCAACTAAAAAAAGAGTCTCTGTCTGAAAGGAGAAGAGACTTCTTAGATTCTTTATGACTGTCTGAATTTGATCTGAGCTAAGTAAAGAATACTGAGCCGGTGGCTTTACATTCAGCATGATATTAGAAATTTCTTATCGAAATTTATTCTAGCCTTAATGCGTAGGATTGAATGTCTTCTATTGTGTTAGATTTGGTTCTTAATAAAAGTGTTCTATTGTTGTCGCATTGCTTAGTTAAATTGAGAGTTTAGAAGAGTATCAATTTCTATTTTATTATTCTGCTATTCTGTACATGTCAAACACTCTTCATTATATTATAGTTAGAACAAATAGGACTGAGAACATTGATATTATTAATATCTATAATATTTTTTTAAATATTACTTTAAAATTATATATTTCTATTTTATTTTAGATTGGCATGCAACAACACTATCATCTTGGTCAGTGGTTACGAAAACGATACAACTCTATACTAAATATTACTTATACCAAAGATGAAATTTACATACGTGCAACAGATGTAGATCGCACAATGATGAGCGCATTATCAAACTTAGCTGGTTTATACCCACCAACCGATAGTCAAATTTGGAATAAGGACATATCATGGCAACCAATACCTGTACACACAACACCGGAACAATTTGATGAAGTAGCTATCATTTAAAGTATAATTATTAAAACTTTATTTTAAAATTATGAATTTGATATTATAGGTTTTGGCTGGAAAAGCACCTTGTCCAGCATATGACTATGCATTATCGGCGTTACTTAATTCACCAAAATTTCAAGAATTAAATGATCGTTACGGATATCTTTTTAATTATCTTACCAAATATACAGGACGTATTATAGATTCATTAGAGGGCGTACAACGTATTAATAATACACTTTATATTGAAAGTCTCTATAATCGTACGTTACCGGAATGGACCAAAGAAGTATTTCCCGGTAAAGAAATGACGTATATATCTGATCTTACTTTTGCTATTGGCACCTACACAAGACAAATGGCTCGTTTAAAAACTGGACCACTTATTAAAGAAATACTCTTGCGTTTCTTGGATAAATTACGTGGTAAACTTGATCCGGATCGTTCAGTTTGGATATATAGTGCTCATGATACGACTGTGGCTAATGTTTTGAATACTCTAAAGGTGTATGATGTGAGTTCAATTAAAAATTTTCTTAATTTTTAATTATTAAAATTTTTTACTATTTGCTGTTTTCATATCAATTAATTCTTTATATATTTTTAACAGATGCACAGTCCAACATATACTGCTTGTGTTTTGATAGAACTACGCGTTGATGATCAACGGAAACCTTTTGTGTCAGTTTTATATAAAAACTCGACAACTGATATGGAACCATATTTGTTGAATTTACCAGGCTGTGGTACTGAATGTCCATTAGAGAAGATGTTTTCATTATACAAAGATATAATACCAGATAATTGGAAAGAAGAATGCAAATTATCTGCATTGCTATTGGATTATGAGGAGGCTAATGTTGGTGTTGCTATGGGTGCGATATATTAATTTTGCAAAATGTTTGCAAAAGGAACTAAGTCTATTTTTCTTTTAGGTATACTAGTGGCCATTATAACATTGACATTATTTCTCTCTTATTTTGTTATGCTATATTCGCGACGCCGAAGTTTTGGAAATTATTCATACTCGCAGGTTGCCTAGAATGAGGATGATCTTTAATTCAAGGTGTATCTAAGGAGTTGTTAATTTTGAAGGCATCTCAATTTGTATAGCTCTCATTTAATTATATTTTAATAAGCACTTTTTTTAATTCACTTTAATGTAAATTTTAATATAAGAATATTTATATATATAAAAAAAATAAATAAATTGCATGCATTTAATTGAAATTTTGTAGCAGATATTCGCTTAAATTTAAGTTTAGAGATAATTTATAAATGTTTGGACTGTTTTATTATAAGCTTATTTCCTCTATATGATATTAATATTTCCCTCTGTACTAGATGATTCACACTTCCTTCAATTTTGCACATACAAGTGGTCTCAACATTTAATAACTATTTTTGAAGTAATTTACTGATTCTAATTATATATTTATATATGCCGTAGAGTGCTTGTTTAAGTTTTAAACCTAAGACTTTTTAATATATATAAGTATTTGTTAAATGTTACTTGTTTTAATTTTTTATATTATAAAGTTTATAATATCCATTGTGGATCCTACAAGAATTAAGTTTTAATTTTAAAATCAATCTAAGAAAGACTGTTGTTTGTAAATGTTTAATTATTATATTCAATTATTGCTATTTAAATAACAAAAACAGATTAGAAAGTAATTTTGTTGAATTTTTATAAATAATAAATTTTATGCATTTCTATATATTAAATATAAAGATTTAAAAGTCATAAATTAAATATTTAATAAAGTAAATATATTTAATTATTATAAAAAACCATTTTTTTAATTTCCATTAAAAAGGAATTCGTTGGCACATCATTTTAATGATTGATAATGATTTTATTGTTTAGTTCATTATTTTCTGCTAATTATAATAAAACTTTTAGATCTATAAAGGTAATTTCTTAATAATTTTTTGTATAATTCTAATTTTTAATTAAATTTTTTCAAAAAACTGGAATTAATAAAAATTTTAATTAACAATTTTTTGATTATAAAGTGCTTATAGATTCAATAGAGTTAATAGAGTGTAAAAGAAGTGAAATTATTCGAAACTTCAATTATCACTTGTTTTAAAATGTACTAGAATTTGATTGATTGCCAAATAAACACGTGTGATTAAAATGACGAATCAATTTAACAATTAAAAAAATAAAAATATGATTCAGTAATTCAATTATTCTATAGCTGGTTTCGTTCTAATATAAACACAGCAAGAGAATTTGTTAATAAACTTTTACAGCAAATTAACAAAACTCCAGCAAAATGTGTGAAAAATGTCAAATGCGGTTTTGGGTCAGTTGATTAAAGTGCGCTGACTCTGAGCTTCAAATTTGGCAGGATACGAGTTCGATTCCTGGTACTTGCAGTCACAAAAAATTATTTACGAATAATTAAATACAAGAATTATTTCCAAGACCATTGATGATTGGTATTTGGCAATACTCGAAACAGCTGTGTGGTCAGCCAAAAATTTAACTAATTAACTAATAATATAAAACAAATTTTTGTTGTTGTAGTTCACTACTGTTCGAAAAACCTCTCCATCAATTTTATAAAATTAAAATAAAGTAGGGTTACGATTTGTACCTACAGGATGATTTTTAGAAATATGTGAAAAATATTTATTTAGGGTAGGAAGGACTGAAATTTTGAGAAGAATTCTAACATAAAGAAGCAAGTTTGCGTTGAATTCGTATCTGTTTAAATAAAAGAAATTTTCATTTGTTAACTTTTAAAAACGTCAATTTTTGAACTGCAGTCAATGATTGCCAGCGACTCAAACGTCTATAAGAAAAATGAGTTGTAGATTTGAATTCCAAAGCGTTAAATTTACCAAAAACCACTGAGAAATCAATAAACACAATTAAGTGTTAAAATTAGTTAGATGTAGATTATATAGTTGAGTTTAGGTAAATGTAACTGACCGTAAGCCACACATACAATTATTGGTTGTAGTGATATGAGATAGACCTTTTCGCGAAACTAAGAAGTTCTTAAAGTTCCATACCAACGCCATGCCTAAACTATTAAAATCATGGATTTCCCAATAATAGTACTCAATAGCACTCAATAGTACTCAATAGGTATGCAGCTATCTATTTGCAGTTGCCTGTTCTGTCATACTTTTCATAGCTTCGTACTTCTTAAAACATTTTTGGGCATACTCGTAATATAATATGAGATTACTGCTTACGGTGGTGTTCAGCCATCTATTTTAATCCATTTTATACATTTTAATCTCTTCCCTACTTTTTATGAGGTCCCTGCATTTTACAACATTTTTAAATATAATATGAGATTATTAACTTAGTTGCTTTTCGGACCTTATCTTGGAGTTAAATTCTATTGACTCTGTGACTTTCCGTACAACGAAAAGTTTTGTTTGAAAAATACTGCAGTCATAAGGTAGCTTGATTCGCTACTCGATACTCAACTTTGTCGTAGAAATATGATCTGTGAAATAATACGAATCGATGTGGCATGAACTCTTAGGATAGACTGAATCTGTTACATTAAACTCTTGAAGTTTTATTGCTAGCAAAGATAGTGGAAAAATGCTTTAATTAATACAGTAATGTTTTATAGAATTTAAGTTAATTGTGATACTAAAAGAGATTTTTATTCTTCCCACATTATTTAAAAATAAATTTTTGTTAGAGTTCACAATCATGCTAGTATAGCCGAACCTATGCTAAAAAGTGGTGCATATCGGCTTAAATATAACTCAGAATACTTCCCCTTGAGAGGCATTTTCTGTTTTATCAAACACTCCAAATAATATTGAGATTTTTATGGCAATACAATGGACATTCAGGTCTAAAAGGATTTCTAGGATCAATATAATACTTCTACATAATTTACATTTGCGAAATCTCCAAGAGAACACAGTTAAGATAAATAATATTTAATTTGTATTTTTATTAATTATAATTGAACTCCTCATAAAATTTACAAATTAACTTATAAATAATTAAATAAAAACTAGAAATTTCGCATTGCGTTCTTGTAATAACGAAATTTTTTAAACTTATTATGATTAGTACGAATTAACTAAATCTTAAACATTATTTACAAATGGACATAATATAACAATACATTCCAGTATTTTGCAATTTCTTGAAGTCTAATTTTATATTCAAATCATAAGTGTACTTAACTTAATTTTAGAGTTTACAACTCTTCTTGTTAAGTAGTCTTGTGCATATTAATTAATTTTTTATTTATTTATTTTTTGTTATTTAATTAAATTTTAATGTCACGTAAATGTTACGCAACTGACTGTAAGTGCGATTAATCCTAGTACGCGCACGTCGCAACCTGCTCTTAAGTTTATCTATAGGCCTTATCGTCTGCATATATTATATATGGTTGATTGCCGTTTTGTGATGATGATTGTTGTTGTTGTTGTTGCTGGCTGCCGCCAAAGTATGACATACGTGACATGGTCGAATAGGTTGCTTGCGCCTGTTGCGCCTGTCGTTGATTTAGATTTTGTGTGGACTGATGTATGGACGCAGCTTTATGAGGCAGTGTAGCGTAGCTCTGTGCCGCATAAGGTGGCACAGCATACAGAGCAGTTGCGGGGGGAGCACCTTTGTAACTAAGTGGTACGCTGCCAGGGCCTAATGGCAATGGCGGTATACCTATCATTGGTGGGCCTGCGTTATGATATTCTACATTACTCATGCGTAGCCGCACAATGCAAATGATAATAATAAGTATGGCAATGAAAGCTACAACACCGCCCACAATTCCAATTATAAGTGTATCATCATTGCTAATGATGGGTGCTTTCATGAGTGGGGCTTTGGTTTTAATTTTCATAGGTGGTGGCTGTGTGGGTTCTAAACTCCAAATAATCATCGGTTCTTCAGTTGTTGTTGTGCGTGTCACCAAGCGTGATGACGATTTTAACATATGTTGAGACGTAGGACGTTGTGTAGTTGTAGTCATTTTACGTGGATCACATGTTAGTTCATCATCACCGACTTCTATTAATTTTTTGCCTGCCAAATAGGCTGGACTGTGACATTTTACATCAAGCATATGAGAATTTGGTAACCAACGCCTTAATGCACGAGCATTGCAATCGCAATGTATTGGATTTGTAGAAAGACCTTTCAGTTGCAAACTGGAACGACGATCTTCAAGTGCATTTAGAAATTGTGGTAATAATACTGTTACCTTAGAACCCTCAATATCAAGTGTTAAATGTGCTGACCGTGGTACCGGGAACAGTAATGCTGGCGGTAAAGCATTCAGTGATGTGTTTTGCAGTTTTATGGTTAAATCACTACTTTTGAGTCCTGCTAAACTACCTGAAGATATTGTCTTCAGACGATCACCACGTATGCCGATTGATTTCAGACGTGGATGTTTGGCCGGTTGTATTTGTTCAGTGCCTATAGTTGAATCTTTAACTTCTAAGTCAATGGTTTCTAAGCCTGGCAATAACTCTAAAATACCTTGTAGATCCAAATAACCTAACAGAGGTAAATCAAAAGCTTCCAAGTTCGCCAAATTTGGTGTGTGCTTGAAAGCATTTTTTTCTATGCGGTTGCAATTTTGTAGGTGATTAAGATGTAGTGTTTGGAGTGAATTCAAATTTTCTAAGTCACCTTGTGCTATCACTTCGAAACTATTGTTTGAAAGATCCAAATTCTGTAGTACATTTAAGTTTGACCATGCAGGTGCCAGTTCACTTAGTTTTTCTAATTGATTGCTAGATAAATCTAATGATTCCAGTAAAGTAGCACGTTGAAACACATCTGGATCAATAGATTGCAATTTGTTTGCAGACAAGTTGAGGTATTGTAAAAATGGAGTTTCTAGCGCTTCCAAGTGTTCAATGCCAGTTGCTGCTAAATTTAGTTCGCGTACTGTTTTCGGTTCATTTAGTATATTATGTACTGCTATATCAGACAGTGGGTTGTAGGACAAATCAAGATGCTTGATATTCACCATAATACTATCATCCCCTGGTATGGTTTTGATCATATTATGACTTAAATCTACTGAAGAAACGAAGAAGTATTGGCGTTGCAAAGCATTTAATGGTGCATAATCAAATTTATTGTATGCAAGATTTATACTTTCTAGCATTTGTAATTTTGAACGCTCAAAAACAGAATCGGAAAGTTCATTTAATTTGTTACCCTCTAGATTTAATAACTCCAAACGCACTAGACCCTCAAAAGTGCGTTCGCCTATACGATCTAAATTATTGTAAGATAAGTCAACGACTTGCAACTGTGTAGAATTGTGGAAAGCCATTTCGCTTAGCATATCCAATTGATTGTGTGCCACCAGAAGTACACGCAGACGCGGTAAACGTGCAAAATCCAATTCTTCAATCGTTTTCAATTGATTTTGAGATAAATCAATGTGTTCTAGATACTGCAGCGTTGATATCAGTTCAGCTGGGAAGAAGCTAAATTTATTATTAGCAGCACGTATGTCGCGTAAACGTGGGTGTATGCGGAATGATGATGGAAACAAATAACTTAAGTGATTGTTTGATATATCTAATTCTTCAAGTCCAGTGCCAGTGTTGAAGAATTCTCCTTTAAATGCAGATAGTTGATTACCACGCAAATTAAGCCGTTTTAGGTTCATAACATTAACAAATGCACCTGGTCTTATGGATGTAATTTGATTATTCGATAGATCAATGGAACTTATATTCCACAGATCAGTAAAACTACCATCGTTAATTTCTTGCAAATTATTGTTGTGTAAATATATGTGTTTTACATCTCTTAATGTTGCAAAGAGATCTCCAGAGAGCTGTTTTATGCCACAATAACTCAGATCGATGACTTGCAATTTCATTAATGGTTTAATTAATGCTGCTGGTAGTGGTGCTATATGCTGATTGTTACTTAAGTTTAGATATTGTAAGTTTTCCAAACCTTGGAATATATTTCGTGAGATTTCTGCTAAATTGTTACCGCTTAAATCAAGGCTTCGCAATTCTGTTAACGCAAGTGGTATAGAACCCAAACCGGTTAAGCGATTTTGTGCAAGTTTTAATTCGTTGAGTGATGTTTCTAAACCCATGAATATATCAGCACCAATAATGGCTAAAGAGTTGCCGGACAGGTCTAAAGTACGAAGATTATTAAACATTTGAAAACTGCCAGCAGGCAGTTCTCGTATAACGTTACGTGACAGTGTGAGTGTTTTAATTTCACTGGCCAAAATGGAACCCAATATTTCGGAGGATAAAGCAGCAACACGATTAAAGTCCAGATGTAAGGAAGCTAAATTTGGTAAACGACCTAAAGCGCTGCCTGGTACTAGCAATATGTTGTTATCGCGTATAATCAACGTTTGTAAGCTATCTAAGCCCTCAAGTGCATCATCTTCAATCTAATAAAAAAGAATACACATTAATGTTATTATCATTATAGTATGAGATTATAACTTACTGTTCTTAAGGAATTTAAACTCAAGTCCAAAAATTTCAACATAGCCAATTCACGGAAAGTGCCTGGTGGCAAGGTGGTAATACCATTACGGCTCAAGTCCAATGTCTCTAAAGTTCTCACTACTTGCATATGATTGTAGTCAATATGCTATTAATAAAAACAAAATAAATAAGAAATTATGATAAATAACATTGGTATAGGTTTATAAGTATATAATGAGGCATGTTGTCATATGCTATGTATATGGAACTCACCTGTAACATATTTGATGACAGATTTAGAGCCTTCAAATTTGGTATTACAGCTAAAGAAACAACTGGGAATTGTGTTATAAAATTCTCGGATAAATCTAGTTTTTGCAATGTTTGTATTTTTTCGAAGACATCGCTATTTAAATTCGATATACGATTTCCCGCCAATTTGATTTCTCTTATTTTGCGAAGTCCTTGGAAAGCAAGACCTTCTACAATTTTGATATTATTATAACGTAGATCGATGATTTCCAACTCTGGCTGTGCTATAAATGAATCGTATCGTAAGGCAGCTGAAAAGATAATACGTTTTAGAATAGTATGCGAGTAAAAATTTAAATATGTTTATGTTTTTACTTACTTATAAAGTTATGCCGCAGGGAAAGATGACGAAGAGCCGTTGGCCCATTCATTGAATTTGAAGGTACTCCACTGAGGCTGTTACGATCCACATAGAATTCCTTCAAATATAAAAATAAAATATAATTGCAGACTAAAATAGTTTTTCATATTAAATAATTGTTTTTAATGTTGATAGTAGGTTGAGTTTATTAGATTGACATGCATAAGTGCTAGTATATATATAATAAGGGACTTTTATTATAGAATATAAGTATAGTAAGGAAATTGGGTTCTTTCGGCTTTGTTGTTAAAGAGACTTTTGTTGTCATGATGATGAATAGTATGACTGTTTCCTTATTAAGACAATTGAGATCATGGATACTTGGATATCTTTGGAATAATATTAGAAAAGTCGAAGTAATATGTAGGGAAAATTTATTATATCAAAATGTAAAACAATTTAAATTAACGTCATATTTTTATATATTTTTTATTTAAGTTATTTATGACAATGTATGGGAAAATTTATGTTCATAAAATTTATGTGTAGCTCATCTTTCTATGGCTAAGTTTTAACTCGACGGATGTAAAAAAAAGCAAGCAATATACAAACTTAATTTAATATTTATTTAATTTCTCACTTCTTTTATATTTCACTTACCTTTAAATCTACGCAACCTTTGAGCAATCCTTCTTCAATGGACTTGATTTTATTGCCAGATAAATCAAGAATTTTTAAATTCTTTAATGGATGGAATTCTGCTGTTGAGAATATTGGATTTAAACTATCACCAAGTAGATTATTGGCCAAACGCAATTCAGTAAGTGTTTCTTTAAGTCCATAAAATGATTTTTCGGGTATACGTCTTATAAGATTGTTGGATAAATCCAAATCTTCAACTGGCAGCTTCAGAGTACCAAAATACTGAAAACAAAAAATTAATAATAATTTAATAAAATATTCAGAAAAAGGTAAGGTAGCTCTTTTATATATGTATATTGTTTTCCCATTTGATATCTTTTCTGAATGTTTTAGTGACTTATTTAGTAATTAATTTCAGATCATAAGCTGTAATTTCGGTATTGATAACCACATCCAAAGAATTGCTACATATATATATTTGAAAAAAGATATTACTCAGAATTTTTGGTGCAAATCTCGTAGCCTATGGAAACTACACGCTCAAGAGTAGTGAAGTACTTATATGCTTGATAAATGCAGAGTGGATAGCAACACTGTAATAGTGGATTTGAATTGATCTAGGAAAACGATTTTTGAATACAACCTACTGCTTGCCGTACATAGATGGGGACCATAAATTCAATTTATCGATTCAATGGCAAAGTTATGGAAAGTTTTAGAAAAAAAATTAAAAAACTTCAGTCATATACAGAAAAGAATAAAGCAATCATACTGAAGAGAAACAGATATCAATATAAGCTTGTATCGTATTGCTTTTTAAAGTTTGAATACTACTTCTACTAGTGCTTTATTACTACTTTACTACAAGTTTCTATACTATAGGTGCACATTTGGTATTCATCTTTACTATGTCGACGTCTATTGACTTCAATGTAAAGGATATTTTTTAATCAAATGATTTAAATTAAATAGATTATTCCCTGATCTAAAAAATAAAGAATATCCTGTAATAGTGCAGTCCATTTAACTGAGATGTGTTGTATTAAAGCAAAATCTACACGAAAAAAATATTCAGTTCAAAAAAATATTTAAAACTAATTTACGCTTTAATGAATTTATATCTTTTTATTGAAGAAACCACTGTGTTTAGGTAGGTTGCTTTAAAGACCATTTGCAAAACAATCTACCAAGAAAAATAGGAAAAAAATCTTTTAAAAAAAAAGATTGCGAAATAATATTACAAAATTTATAAATAAAAATTATTAATAAATAATATTTTTTTTATTAAAAAAATACATGTGTAAATGACGAAGTTCTACAATTAATATGAGTTCTTATGATATTGTTTTGAAATCTTCAAAAATATGCCGTTTCAATTATTCTTAATAACTCTTTTTCCACTAAAGAATTTTTACAGTTGATTTAAATAATTTTCCAATATAAAAGTGATTCCTGGTCGTTTACAATTTCATTTATCTAGATGTTTACATTTTATAACATCAGTTTATTACTTAAAAAAGCTACTGGTAACGAGAAACTAAAGTACAGTGTTATAACACACATTTATTATATAAAAGAAGATGTAGGATATAATAGTGGAACAGAGGTCTGAAGACCTCTCTCAACGTAAGATACATTTTTGCTATGAATTCAAATATAGAACATTAGCACTATTTAGACTAATGGCAAGGACGATGGGAAACATTTGAGCGGAAACTGACATTTCATATAATACTTGTACCTATTCAAACGGGAAGATAATCCATTCTGAATGGAGGTTATGTATCACATACTAATGCAGCAATTAGCTGCTTGTTTAGTAAAAGATCTCACCATGAAGATTCACAAGCGAATAATGCCACAAAGTAGAGGAACTGAGGAAGCACGAAAGAAGTGCTGAGCTAACATGTATTTTAAGTGATGAGAAATATCAGTGATATTGTTATATCACCGGCAACCACTAATGAACATTAGAGTTTCCAACTCATTACGTTTAACTGATAGAATACCAAATGGTTGTGCCAGTAGAATTTATTCGCGTTGGATGATAGAAGTTTTTAACTATAGGCTTAAAAAGCTTTATTTAATAGATTTTCAAAGAAAAACATGGCAATTGCAGCGTCTTAAACCTTTGCTAAAATTAGATCTTATATAAAATGTGAAGTTAAATAAAAAATCAATCAACAATTTTTTTTTTATCAGTATTAAAAATTGTTATAAAATATTTTAAAGATATAAAAAGGAAGTAAGCTTTATAGAGTGGTTACATATCTGAAATTAAATCATCTTAATTCTAAAAGCAGCTTAACTGAGGGTCATTAAATGGAAGATATCATAAAAGAGATGGTGTATTTAATATTTTTTATTATAGTAAATAAAGTACAATAATTGTAATTAAATATTTTAAGATTTCAATTATTTTTATAAGCCGGAATTATATATTTCTTTCCTTCCTTTTAAGTACAAAAGCCGTTAAAAACCGGTAACAATTGAATGAAAGTTTTTATTCACTGAAACTTTATTCACTGAGTCAAAATATTCATGAAAAGAATGAGTAACCAGATTTTAAATTGATGAAAGCAAATTTTTGTGCTATAGTCACTAAAAATTATTGTACTGATTTTTTTTTTGCTTTAAAAAAAAGGAGAAAATGTCAAAAATTAAGTATCTATACATTTCTATGAACAAACATTTTGATGATTTTTGCCATCTTTAGACAGTCATTTTTGCTGCTGCATAGATACTTTTCTAACAAATTACTATTTTTTATTAAAATCAAAGGTATAAATTTCATCCACTTATTTATTCATTTATTATCTGAATATTTCTTTTTTTATGCAAACAATTTATCATTATTGGTCTAATCAATTAACAAAATCTCTCCTCATAGTTAACTGTGACAATTTGCGAATATCTTGCACTGCTGCGGTTTTAAGTTTGAAATATTTTGGCAGAGTAATAAACGCCTTCACCTTTCTCGGTAGTTGGTTTTTTTAATTTCAAAATAATTTTATTAAAACTCATAAAAGTCAAAAAGAAAAGAATCTTAAATTTCACTTTCTTTTTTTATCTGTTAAAACTAAATTATTTTGTTTTCGTATTCATTTATCTTGTATCTGTACTTGGAAAGTATGTATCTACGCAGCGCAGTACTTGAAAGTCTTATGAACTGCGCAACTTGTTTCTTAAATTTTTGGCTTGAATTATTCGTAATTATTTTGTGGTTAATTCAATTTCATTGGCACTTGTCTTATGCGCAGTGATATTCTTTTCTGCTTTTGTACTCTGTTTTTTGGTATGGGAAAGATTTTTGACCAGCGAAAGTGAAATTGTGAAGATAGTTTTTTTTTATTGTCGGTTTTGATACTGGAGGCAATTTAAGAAATCAGATACGAAAAATGAGTGGGGAAAGGTTTTTGTGAAGAATACGAGTATTATCTTTAAAAGTGTGTAATTACTATAATGTTGGTTTTAATTTCTTTTGCTTTTATATTACCAAAAAAAAAACATTTTTTTTGTTACAAACCATAATAAAAATTTCATAATTACTTTTAGATACTATAAACTACTATAACATTCTCATAAAAGCTGAAAGAATAACTGAATAATTAATAAATGTATGAAGGGTTTTTGAATAACAAAGAAAGAAATAAAGGACAAACACAAAAATTTATTTTAATTTTATTGAAGTTTGGCTGACCATACAACGCTGTTTCGAGTATTGCCAAGTACTCTTCATCAGTGGTCTTTGGAATAATCGAATTTTTATTTAATTAGTTTAAAGTCCGTATATAATTTGTTTGGACTGCAAGTACCAGGCTTAGAACTCGTGCCTGTCAAATTAGAAGCGATGACTAATCGGGTTTAACCACAAGAAGCCAAGGCTGCACAAACTTTCAATGCTCAAGTTCCAGGTTTTATTGTCACTTATTTTTATTTAATTAGTTACACTTTATTTCTTTCTTTGTTATTCAAAAACCCCTCTAAATTTTAATAAAGCTTCTTTGTCACTATACAAAGAAAGTCTAGCTTTACAGCAACACGAATACTTTATTCAATAAATGCATGAAGTAAAAATATCGTAGAAATATAGATAAATAATTTGATAAAGAAATGATAAACGAACGATTTATCTTGTCGAGCTAATTATAGAATAGAATAGAAATGAACGAGGTACTAGCATCCAACGAAGCGGAGCACTGCGACCAGATTAATCTTTTGTGCTGCAACAGACCCTAACCATTTAGAAGACATTCCGCCTTCCGAATGTAGGCCAGAATGTCGGCCGTTGAGGACCTTCTACTGTCAGAAGGGGAGAGCAGCTCTCCTTCAGTGACCTCCTCCTGACCCAGATCAAGGCTGGGCAGTCACATGTGAATGGAAGTCTCGTCTGCTTCTAAACAGAGTCGACACTCCATCTCTTCGGACAAACTCATTTTATTGAAGTGATAACGCAGTTCATGGTGACCCGATAAATATCCCACCAGCAATCTTAACTCTATTCATCGAACAAATTAAGAACATAGAACAAGGGTCCCAACTATTTTAAAAACTGCAATACATATTGATGGATATAAAATGAATAAATATAAAGGTATTATTTAATAAAAAGTTAATAAAAACAATGTACTTTAAATAATAGATCACATGAGAATGAATTTTTATTTTTTTTTTTTTTCAAAAGAAGGGTTGGGAAGTAGTCTCCGCGTCACTGCATCCTCGAGGATTATTGTGACATACCCACTTCAGTTCCATAGACGAGTAGCAGTTAAGAATGACATCTTTGGAGAGATGTTGCCTACTTCCATTATAAGCGGATAGGCAATGGATAAGTAGCGAAGTCTGAGTCTTGCAAGACTATCACAGTGACACAATATGTGTTCTGCTGTTTCCTCTTCTTCGTAATAAAGTCTACAGCTATCGTCTCCAGTAATACCTAGATTCAATAAATGTTTTTTAACTCCGCAGTGCCACTTCTGTTCAGCATAAGTAGCTCCCTAGTTCTGGCTTTTGATCGAAACCTGAGAATGAGTTATTCCGCATGACAGTTTTTGAGTGAATAACCATTTCAGGACGGTTGACATATTATTTGGTTTAAAAATTTTTTAGTAAAATTAAGCTTAAAGCTAACAAAAATACCCAATATTTTTTCTATAACATCAGTGCATCAAAATTGAATGTATTTTTTTCCGATTTAAGTTATTTAATAAATAATATATCAAGTTCTTTTCGGCTTACGTATTTTATTTCGATTTATTTTTATTAAAAAAAATAAAAATTAAATTTTATAAAAATTAGTCAACCTATTTCCTAAGAAAACAGCCCGGTTTAAGTTATGATTTAAAAATCAATACATCAGTTCGGTTCCGGTTTTTCGATCCGGCTAAATATTGGTTTTTGTGTTGGTTTTGAGGGTTAGTTCCAAGTGAATACTTTTTATGTATTTTAGTTATAAACCATTTTTTCTGTCATGATTTGAAGCAGATCATCAAATTGTTTAAAAAAGCACAGTTTATCAAATTTTTCAATAAAAAAACAAACTTATTTTTGTAAATAAAAATTAATTTTAAACTTTACAGTCTCGTTTATTAAAGAAACTGAAAAGGATTGCTTTTGTATAACCAAGTTCCGAAATGTGCTAAATATTGATGCATTCTTTTTAGGTTCAGTTACGGTTTTGGTTTTGGTAATGATATCAGTTTTTGATATCAGTTTTTGATATTAGTTCTGTACGGTTCAGTTTCGGTACAAAACCGTGGATGAATTTGATTAATGAAAATGGATATGAAAATTTCGAAATACTTAATTTATAAAATATTGATTATATACTTAGGACATAAAAATATTTGTTTTAAACTATCATATTTTTGATGGAAAGTTTCTTTAAATTCATTATTTTAATGATTTGATTCTCATAAAAAAGAAACAAATGCTTTATAGAAACTTTACTAACTGGATAAGGAGATGTTGGAATATCTATAACATTAAAGTTATATTATGCAGAAAGTCATGGGCTCGTCAAAATTGTTTCTTTTGGATTATGACGAAAATAAATGTTATGCAGAGTGTCACAGAAATTGTAATAATTTGTTCATAAACAATAAAACCATTGATATTTATTACTGAACAAGTTTGTCTATGTGACGAGGCATAGATAGCATCGTCTCTCATATATAAATTTGAACCGAGCTTTTGTTTTTTCTCTCACTCTCAATTTAATAATTTGCATTGAAAACGATAACTTTGATTTTGCCTAATGCAATTTTAACCCGTTGAACAATTCTTCTTTTTCTACTTTGAAACCTTTGTTGTCGCAGACGGTTTCGACACAATAATATATATATAACATAATATAAGCTAATTTCCTGAAGTTTGTTTTACATTTGAAAGTGTGTTTTCTTATTTATTTTCATGTTTCTTTGTAGTAAAATCGTAGGGGACATCTTCTAACGATGCAGATGGTCCATCTGCATGTATAATGTGTTCTAAATCTTAAGTGCATAGAACTCAAGAAAAACTAAATCTTAAGCTCAACTCAATTAAATGGTTACTTGGACGACATTCTGTTATGTCAATTGAAAACAAGCTAATGGTATACAAGCAGATTTATGTCCACTTTGGGCCTATGGATCTCAATTCTCGGGTTGAATGCCTAAATCAATTAGGCGGATAATATTAAAATAGCATCCTAAGAGCAATTACCAATGTTTCATGGTATGTTCGTAACAACAACCTTCATCGTGACTTGCATGTTCCGACAGTTGCTGAAATAATCACGCTTCAGGATAAAGCACATAAAAAACAGACTTGAAGTTCACTGTAATACAAAAGCTTCATCACTCCTTCAAACAGAAGACAATGTGACTCATTCCAGTAACAGTGAATCTTCTACTTTCACGTTGGAATCAGCTGCAAACATAACATCAGCTTTATTAACTTTAACAGCAGCAGAAATATCAAATCTAATCCATCTAATGATTTAAAACTGGGAATACTTTTCATATAACCCAATGTTAAATTCTGACATTTTATTATATAATATTTTCTGTGCAATCAGGTATAATTTGGCTAATCAAAAAGAAAATCGGAGTTATAAGACAAACACCAATATCTTGTGTTAGATAAGACAATAAACACAATAATTATCATTAGTAAACTATTATCGAACAACAATTCCTTTTGCTAGATATTCGCATAGTAGTAACTACTACCTTATATGAAAATCTTTTAATGGAAGGTGAAAATTTATTCCTTTATTATATTGAAGCTGTTTGACCCAGTGTACTTGAGCACTTTTACTCTTTCTTAACTGGAGGTATTTTCAAAATCCCTCTTTACGCCTTGACTGGTTTATTGTTTATTACTTCATCAGACTAAGCAATAATTGACCTCAGATCTGCATACCTCCCCGAGGAGCCTGTAACCATTCTGAAATTCGATAACGCGGTTTTGGTAAGTCTGTCAGGCTTATTATTATTCGTAAATAATTTCAGGCCTCTTTCTTTTATGTATTTTTTGATGGGATCAATCTTGAGATCCCTGAGGATCTCATTCGTCCTAACATACCATGGTACTTTGAAAAATCTTCTCAGAGCCTGGTTTTGTGCAATTTCTAGCTAGCGAATAGTAGTGTTGATTCCGTAAAGTAAAATTTTTATATATTCTTCGTTTTGTGATAATAAAAAACAAATGCATGTGTTTAAGTTTTTTTAATAATAAATTTTTATAATTAATTAATTAATCAGTTATAATAATGATTTCTTTCACTTTAATATAAAATGTATATATAAAAAATACAAAATTAAGAAAAATCATCAAAATATTAATACAGAAATATATATATATATATATGATTGTTGCATATAACAATTATCAATTATATAACCACTTTAATTACAAAGAAAAATTTACCGTTTACTTCTACCGGAAACTACAATAAAAATAACTTTTTGCAGTAATTTTTGCCAACAAAAACAAAGACAAAATAGTAATTAAATCATTTCCTTTCTTGAAATCCAAAAAAAAAAATGAAAAAATGCTAAGCTTTGAAAGTAATTAAAAAATTTGCAATAATTTGCCTGTCCAAAACAATTAAGCGTCCATATTTAGTGCAAAAACAAAGGTGCTTGACCTTGGCTTCAATTTCAACAATTCGAAATGGAAATACATATATTTTGGTTTCTTGGTCTATGGATATCGTAAGCCGAAAATGTATATGAAAATAATTTGTTGGGATTGGTAGAATAAACAAATGCAGTCTCGTTTTGTAAGTTTTTATTTTTTCAATAAATTTTTCCCAGCCGCAAAAGGTTAAAATTATTATTAAAATTATTTATCTACATATTTTAAAAAATGTTTTTAATTAAAAAAATTTTTTAAATTATTTATTTATACCAGTTTGATAACTGAAACTCATATGCATATTCTTTGCTACAAGAAAAAAAGTCTCACACACCCAGTTTTATCCGCAACTTTTGCTACGGTCTTACGTCTCACTTACCTGTGACGGTAAAACTTGTTGACCACTAAATCGTTGTGAATAAGCCACAATCGGTGCACCATAAGGCAGTTGCGGTGCCTCACCATGAAAGACAACACGATCACAGTCCATTGCCACAGCTCCAAGTTGTCCAGTCGAACCGAATGGCACGACATTGCATCTGATTTTACAAGAAATTGTTATAGATTAGTTAACACAAAAGCAATTGTAAATTTTTATTTAAATTTTAGTATTAATAAAAATTATATCATAGTTATATATACAAATATAAATATATATTTGACTGTGTAGTAGTTACTAGCACTAGAGACAAAAAACCAATTGGCGACAAATGCGGAAATTTTTTTCAAGAATTTATCTACTTTGCTTCATTGATTTTTATGACAAATTGTAATTTGATTCTCACTAAATCAATTTGTGGTATTAAATAATAGTTTTTTTTATTATCATATTTATGCTTATGTTTATGAATATGACGTCACAGTTGCTTGATTTTATCACTGTTAAATATTAATATCAATTTACCTGCAGGGTAGTCTTAAAGCTGGACTCAGTTCTGGACATGGTCGCCATGCTTTGATTTGTGATAAATAGAGCAACAGTAAGAGAAATGTGCTGAGGTGTCGTATTCGTCTGATATGGTTAAATGTGTGCATCTGTAAAAAAAAAAGTATTTTTTATTTATTTATTATTATTGTATTAATCACTTATAAAGTAATTTAAGATAAGAATAGAATAGATTAGAAAAGGAATACCTTGAAGAAAAGGTATAGAAAGTCAACTAAAACGTTTTTTATTTATTATTATTGTATTAATCACTTATAAAGTATTTTAAAGTAATACCTTCAAGAAAAGGTATAGAAAGTCTACTATTAGTAGTATTAGTCTAAAAAGTATTCAAACTTAATTAAAAAAACACACAATTTTATCAATTATTAACCAAACCTTTTTTCATTTGTAAAGTAGTTCTAACAGAGAATCATACTACTACGACTTCGCTGGATCTGCTTCTATATACATTTTTTATAAGGTCTTGAAATCATTCAACGATTTTATTTTAAGTCTTCAGAATAGAAAAAATCATATGTGAAGTCTATATAATGCTTGATCAATCAGATCGCTGAACACTCAAAAGTATTATTGCAAAAATAGTTAATAAAAATAAACTGGATAACATGTCCATTTTATATTCCCTTACATATAAGCTTCGGTAGGTAACCACGGAGTAAAGCAATTATAAAAAAAGAATAATAACATTGATGTGCCCTGGGATTGCCAAAAAATGAGTAAAGTACCTTTCTATGGTTTTTTAACCAAACTTTCAATAGTTCAAATGGCCTAGAAGACATTTTTAGGCTTAAGACTGTTAAGGTTCCTCTTTTCAGTGTTAGATTCAAAGTGTTGCGTTATGTCTTGTAATAATAATTTCAAGCCTGTAAATTATAGTTCACATTACGATACGATATATGAAAGCGATCATCATTAAATCAAGAATCGCTGATGATATATCCTTAATAGTAATTAATAGAGTTGTATTTAAACACTTTTTCTTCCAATTGCTAAGATCGTTGATCAATACCCAGGTATACAATGGCCTACTCACAGATCACTTTGCCTTATTACAAATATCAACGAATTCTAATTGTTAAATTCCAACAAAAACTCTTTTTTGAGATGGAACTAGAAGAGTGCGTATTATATTATTTTACATATTATATTATACATATTATATTATTTTCTAAAACGGTGGAAAGGATCGAAATTTTTGTTGAATCAATAATCAAAAATCTACTCTACAAAGATTTAAAAATATGTAGCTTTTGCATTAGGATATGTAGTTAATTATAGATAATGTATAGTTTCTCAGTGGTAAACAGTGACCCGATTGTCATTTTTGTTACTGGACTACAACCTCAACATGTAATTTCCAACTGTAAATATCTTAAGTTGGTCATCTGCTATTTGGAGCATGTATCTTCTTGAAATATATACAGATAAGACAGTCCTATCGACTTCTTCATACTTGCAGCGTCCGTTAGGCCGAGATATACATATGCTATCGAAAAAACTAAGTACAATTCGTCCTTCGAATATCACGAAAGAGATAACGAAGGCAAACATATCGGATCCACCCAACTTCATCTCAAACACTAAATGGTTTAACAACAATAGAAGATAACAACACGCCTCTCCCGGCATAATCTTTAGGAGCATAACAATGGGCAATATATGCCCGAGTAGAAGTGCTGATAACAATCACTCGCCTTCTCAACCTAACGTAACGTATCTACTATTATATTGAACACTTATAGCATTACCCGTAAATTTTTGAGTATGTGAGCAACTCATTTAAGCGTTACAACCTGTAATATCATAGCATTTGGAAATGAAAATTTTTATTGTAATAGAATTGATTGGTATTTAATAGTTGGGATATGTTCTCCGTACCGATATACCAAAAAATATTAAGGAAGAAAATAAATTTAACCATAGTAATTATAATAAAACAGCAGCAGTGATTTATTTCACACCTCAGTAATGTTGATATTTATGGACATTCCTATTTAGGCATACACGCAGTTAAACCATACAAAAACAATAAACACAATAGCAAATGTTAAATAGCAATGATGAACAAGAGTCGAACCGATGAGTGAAGGAATAAATTAAAAGAAAAATTAGTACCATTAAAATGGCATGAAATAGGATGCATTTTTTTGAAGAAAATTTTTTTGTGTGCAAAATATTTTCAATTTTAAAAATAACAAGTAGGATATAAGCTTTAGTTACCATAGCAAAAAATGTAATATAGTCTTGAAAATTAATTATTTCACAAGTACAAAAATGCACTTCAGTGTGGGTTAATGCACTTTAACTATTTTATGAAGTAAAAAATGTTGGTTTGGCTACTTAAAAAACAAAACTGCATAAAGTAACTAATTCACTTGCTAATTTATTTTTGAAGGTTTAAAGGAATTTAGTGGAGTATATTATTAAATTACAATTTTAACTTGCACATTTTAGGTACGCTTGGTGCTAATTAAGTATGGGTACAGTATACAATATCCGTGTATTTATTTCACTTATACGATATGAGGTGCCAAATTTGCTTATGCATGGTATGTAGATGCTTATTTGAAGTTTATTTCGAAATTTAGGAAATTATAATTTAAATGTTTTTTGTGTTGCCGCTCATAAAATTCACATGAGCTGGTATGAAAACTTTTAGTTAAAAAATTTTATTTAAAATTATTTTTTCAAGATTTTGACATCGTACACATGTGTGCTTTACGCAATTCCATGGCGAACGTACGTTGCACTTTGGCAATAAAACGACAGCAAAGCGGTGTTTGCAATAAATCAAACTGCAAATATTTTGTAATGCACATAAATCGATTGTATCTGCACACACAATATACGAGTAATACATGAAGAAAAAAAAACTATTTAAAAAAATTGAAATGAAAAAATATGAAGTCATAATGTCGTTTTATGAACAAACATGTCAAAAGTGTTGTTAAAAATAAATGATTAGTCCAAATTTTATTGATAATAAATGTCTTACAAAAATAACAGAAATAATATAAAATACGCTATGATATTATTAACATATTATGCAAATAATTTTTTATGAAAATTAATTTATTTAATTATTTGCATTAAATATTACATTGAAATTTTCAAAATGCAACGGTTTTTATAGGAGGGAACCTGTCCTAATTTCAGTTGTTTTGCTTCAAAAATTTCTTATAATGAAATAACAGAGATAACATTTACATGATTATGTTATCTCTGCTAACACTATGTTAAGTGAAGCGGTGGGTATGCTTAAGCAACAGTTTGCAAAGTAATTTACATATGGGCGGTAGCTATAAAATGCAGACTCCGATATGAAGTGTTAATCTACCTCCCCCTGGACAAAGCGTTTTGTATAGATGTTTTGAAAATCTTATTACGAAAACTGAAAAGCTTTAAGTTTTCTGACTTCAGTTCGGTTTTCAACAACTGTTATTTTCTTTTTAATTTTGTACTATGCGGTTGAAAAATTTCATTAATTACAGTCTTGAATTATTAATTCAAGCGTATCGATGAATGCAACAGCTCACGCCAGACGTGTTGGGGCGTTGAGATCAAAGAAAGGAGAGAAAAAAAATATTTGTGAGATTTTGAGATTGCTAATAGATTAACTTATTTTAAAATTGAAAATGTTGATGGAAAGAAAACTTATTAAATTATAGTTTTTACATAATTAGGAAAAAATTGAATCAATTACTTTTTTTTGATTTATTATAAAGTTTTTTTTTTGAAAGAGTTTATATATACTATAAGATTATAATAAGTTTTCAATCGTTAAGTTAATAATAATATACATTTTTAATTAAAATTTAAAAGTTAAGTGAGGTTTATTGGAAGCTTCAATACCCTCCACAGAGATACCCATGTTGCAAAACAATGAATTATAATTGTTTTTTTAATCTTAGAAAATAAAAAAAATTAAACTATATAAAAATTTTATTTATTATTTTTTTATTATATATTATTTTATTATTTTTATTATTTTATTATATATATTTCAATATGGGTTTTAGTTCTACAGTAGTTCCATAAAAATGTTAAATGAATAGTCAAGCAATTAAATTAAAACTAGAACTTTATAAAAAGTCTTTAATAAGCCTGTCTTTATAAAAAGCTTCTATGGAACATTTTATGCTATTAGATAGAATCCAGAAGACCAAGAACCATAAAAGGATTGGTGATACCTGCGATACGTTAACTGGTGCGCAACGGTTTTCAACTCTTGATTTACGAAACGGTAACTGGGAAGATGTTCGGAAGATAAGAGTGGTTCATTTGGGAATGTTTGGCGTATTGATAAATAGAATGACTGAAGGCAATGTTATGAATTTAGAAACTAAGTAAAATTAAAAATAGTTTTTTGTAGTATATGACAAACATATACTGTAAAATGTGTACATAAATATATACATATATATACAATTGTATATATAAATTAATAACCAAATAATGAATAATATATAACTAAATAATATTATTAATAATAAATAATAAAAAGGAATAGATTTAACTATCGAAAGCAAATATAAAGTCTTTTTTTTAAATAAAACAAATAAAATTAATTTTAAAATAAAAAATAATTTGTATATATATATTAATAACCAAATAAAAAAAACCAATACATAATATAATAAATATAACTATCCAAAGCAATATATTATTATTTTTAAATATATATTATATTATAATATATTTGTACAATTAAATATATAATATAGTTGTAGAATGTGTAAAATTTCTTTATATAAGAAAGTGAAATAAAATAATGACAAAAATTAAAATAAAACTAAATTTTAATGCTTATTTCTTTCTTATACTATATTAACTATTATTAACTATTATTTCCAAAAAAGTGTGTATAAGACTTGACATGACAGCTGAAGTGTGGCATTTGCACAAGGCATTTCCTCTCGAAAATAAATGTTTTTAGTGCGTTAAAAAACGTGATTTTGGGTCATCATAGCTTTTTCTGTATATCTATTGTGTTTCTATATAAATGGGTTTTCTATTGGGATTTATTTGGTGGAAAATTCATTACCGTTTTAATTGAGTTGTTACATGTCAAGTGCGCGTCGTACTC